ATTACGTAAATCATTTAGATGAACGATGAATGATTTATTTGCATCGAGTGCAACAAAGTCCAATTTTACTGGAAACTTTCTTTTGACTAACCTAGTACATCTTGTACAGATTTATATCTTTCTCTCTAAACTAGTTTTATCTCAAAGCTTTTTCCCTTTTCCTCATGGAGTCCGACCAACTGTTCCAACAGACATCTCGAAAAGACGTCACTTTAAGATAACATCAAGATGCTATCTTAAAAGTCCTGACATGCAACTTCACTTGCACCTCTTGCAACTTGTATTTCATATAAATACGAAGATTCACGCACCGAGGAAGAGGAAACTCGTTTTGTTGTTTGGAGTCTCCGGTATTTCGAGCTACGTGCTTCAAATCGAACTCGTATATCCAGTACGATTGTCCGAATCCGAATTCCGTTGTATGTCACGCGATTGGACACGAATCCAATACGATAGAGATAGTCATTTTAAGCGCAAGTTATCGCTCACGTAAAGTGGCTCTGTCTTGTATTGGATTCGTGTTCAATCGCGTTCGATACTTACATCCTTGATAAATCTGTCGATTTCTGTGTGGTCGGGCGGTTCGATTTGAAGACAGTGACCGACTTCGCGTACGTGCCATACCGGCCGGCAATCATTCGGCGATAACGAACGCGGCGTGTGAGTGGCTGCTGCATGTAGGTGAGCAAGTTGCTTAGCCAGTCCGCGGTGAACTGTTATATGCACTGGCATGCTGCCCGTCGCTCGTTGAAAAGCCATTTCTGGTGGCAATGCCAACGACGAAGGCGCTTACACTAGAAAACACTCGCGATTCTCCGCGTCGAACCCGTTTCTGTAGCGATCGAACGCGTTTCGAAGGTTCACGGTACGACACGCGTTTCCAAGTCTGGGAAGCAGCGGTCGAAGCACCGAAAATACAAGCGAGCACTTTCGATCAAAGTTAGAGCAAGACTGCAAAAGCTTGCGCTCGATTTGTGATTGCGCACATATTGTCAAAATGTTGTAATATTTTTCAGATGGCAAATTTCTAATAAGCTATGCGACTTGATCGATTTATCTCTCTCTCACTCTCCTTTTAACACGCTAATCTAGTATATGAGAAGAAAACTTAATACGAGCGGATTCATTCTAAATGCATATGGTCACGATGATGGTCGATAACACGCATGCCAGAAATTAAATAAACTTGTCGCAACTTTTAGGGCTACGTTTCCCAAGTCCAAGTTCCCAAGAATTCCAGTTCCCAAGAAAGTTTGGGAGATCAAAGGTTTCAAAAGTTTGCGTCAGCCAAGTTCTGGGGTTCGTGTCCTGAAATTTAGGTGAAGTCGTTAATGTGCGTCAGGTAAGCCGCCGATCCGCGGGTAAAAGTTCCTCGTAATCGCGACATAATTGAGAAATTCCGATACGCCGGGAGAGAGTGTTTCGCGGGACGGAAACGCGTCCGGATTCCCACATTGGGAACGATCGCCGGCCGATCGTCGTCGTCGTCGTTTACGTCCCACGGTAATCGAGACCGACCAATTTAGGATGTATGGATCGCCGGTCGAGTCAATCCGCGCCGCTCTACTTAGCCAAATGTGTTAGGTGTGCTGCACTTAATTGCGGAAAGGAACGAATCGGCCAGCGGATCGGTGTAACGAAGTAACGAAACACGGACGGCAGCAGGTCGATGAGGAAAACCGACGTATTTCGATCACGATGTTGTTCCCGGCTGAATTCGCGCGCGCAACTCTCGAATACATTTTCTCGATGGGACTCTGCTGTGTGTCGGAGGGTCGCGGGATTTCGCATCGTTAGATCTGACTGAGCCGAAGGGGCTAACACTGAGGCGTTCCGAAACTTTCTCTCCGATATTTCGTCAGGTCTCGACACACCGAAGGGTTAAATCGTTGAACGAAAAACTATAGTCTCTCGCATCAATTTCCATTAATGTTCAGATGCCAAATTCGCGTATCTGTCTCGCTTATGATATCTTTCTGAAATTTGAAAAGCGATGCGTTGATAAACAAATTTAGCCATTAATTATCAATAGTTTCGGGTATCGCATCCCTGTTAGTTAATGATTATTATTTCAATGATATCACATAAAATCCCACGTAGAGCGTATTTTTCAAATAATTACTTTCTCGGAATCGAACGAGTAAATTGTGGACCGCTCGCCTACAATTTACTAGCAGTAGCGCTTCTCGCTCGAATTCTATCGCGATTTTTTATGCAAAAATATCCTACATTTATTTCGCAAATTTCACGCGTGGTACCGTTTCTCGTCAAAAACAGATTCTTTAATGTAACTGGTAGATCCAATCACTTTCCTTCATAGTGCACACCGCTGAGCGCACATTACGATTTACGCTAAACGGCCGTTTATTTTCACGTGGGCTTAATTATATACAAAACGCCTTGCGGGTGTTGTTATCACGATGGTCGATCGTTGCCATTTCACCCTACATTAAACGCGTTCGAATTCGCGTCTTACCAAAGACGCGCGCGCAAAAGGATCACTACTTTCTCTCTACCGTTCCCTATCATCGCCAATCTCTATCGTTTAATTGTAATTGGCACGCGAGGTTCTATCGTCGATACTCGACGACTTTATATTCGTAAAGGTAAGACGTGTCGAATTCTCGAGTTACTTTACGATCAATCGTGCTAGAAATCGAAAGCAAAACTTTACATCAGTATCGGACTGCGTATCGGAACAGAAGGAGAGAAAGAGAAAAGGGAGGGGGGGCGGGAGGGAAGGAAGAACAAGAAAGACAAGTAACACGAGAATCAATCCGATTTGAAAACTAGTGATGGGCGATCTCGATTCAATTTTCAAAAAATTGATCTTTTTTTTCCAAAGATCGATTTTTTCCAATCGATTCGCTCGGGCCGATTTTTTTTTTTTTTTTTACTAAATCGTTTCTACCTATTTCAATTTCAGATTAATACAAAAATTGATATTTTGCGAAAAATCGTCCATCACTAGTTGAAACACAAAGACCTTACAATGGTTGTAGATTGCAACAATAATTGCCACGCGTAGAGCGATTAGTCACGCTTGCCATAATAATAATTATAGCAATTATTTTCATAGGCAGTGATCATCGGGCGTCTGGCACGTTTTAGGGTTACAATTCGAGTTAAGTTGGTCTTTTGCGAGGGATCAGGGATCATTGTTTGAGGGCATTGGTCACCGACCCAAATCCACGCGGAAGCGCCATTTTCAACGAATTTATGCCGATGGAAATCAAGCCGCAGTAAATTCTCGACCTTCGTCGTCAAGGAGTAGCGATTTGATAAAACTAGTGGACGTAACGGTGTATCTCGCCGCTTCAGCAGATTCGCCAATATATTTATTTCGATATACGAGAAATAAATAAAAGACTACGAGACGTCGAAGAGACACGAATAGTTTCTCCTCGCGTATGGCGAGTCGTCTTAACCCACGCGAACCAATCATGTGTAGCAAACGAACGGAATAACAGGGATAACATTCAGTTAACTGGCCATCATATCGACAATATTTATGCGAGTATATCGTGTCATAAGATTTTCACTACAGACGATCTCGTGAATGTATAATGGGCAGAGAGGGGAGGGGGGAGGAGGAAGATGGTACCGTCCAAAATTTTGATCTTTGGTCATCTCATGAACGAATTATTCGTACATTGTGTTCATGTGTGTGTGTGTGTGTGTGTGTGTGTGTGTGTGTGGATGCGGGTTATCTCCGATACGAGATGTCTCGCGGTAGCTGTTCCAGATATTTTTTACGCCATCTTTTGTTTCTCTTTTAGATACGGGCCGATATATAAATATGCGAACGCGCTCCACGTCTGCGTTTTTTTCTAGGCGATTACAAAAGTAGGCCGACCGTGTATCGAAAGCCAAAGCTGCGTTGAACGCTTGATACGCGATTTTGTTCTTCGTGCAACATGATGCAGCAAACCACATGCGCGTTGCAACACGTCGAACAGCCATCATTACATTCCGTTTTGGCGCGTTTAACTCATCACCTGGGTCGCGTCAGAGTTCGATGGACACAACACCGTGTATTCACTTGCGTATTCCTCGTCATCGTCGCACGCATTTTGCACAACCCAACACACTTCACTTGATTTGCCGGTATTCACGTCGCAAGCGAAGAGAGCTAACGAGGGAAATACATGGGAAGAAGAAGAACTGAGAGAGAGAGAGAGAGAGAGAAAGGGAGAAAGAGAGGGAGAAAGAGAGAGAGAGAGAGAGGGAGAGAGGGGGAGAGAGAGAGAGAGAGAGAGAGAGAGAGAGAGAGAGAGAGAGAGAGAGAGAGAGAGAGAGAGAGAGAGAGAGAGAGAGAGAGAGAGAGAGAGAGAGAGAGAGAGAGTAACAAGAATGAAAGGAATAAGAGATAAAAGAGGAAAAGAGGCCAAAGGATATCTCTTGACTACATCTGCTCGAAGACAAGAAAAGCGAGCAGGAGGAGGCAAGACACATGAGGAAGTGGCCAAAACAAGACAAGGAGGATTCAAAAGGAGAATGTGAAGAGCTTCTGGTGAAAAATGAAACGAGAGAAGGAGCGGAGATGTGGAACAAGTTAAAGGAGTAAAAAACGTGTTCATGCTTCCATAGCAAAAAGAGGACAGGGCAAAAATGTACTAGAAGATCAAAGAAAAAGAGCAAGTATAAAGCAGACGACGTGAGCAGTACGTCTGATATCCTGAGAAAAGCTAGATTATATGAGGATCGAAGATAGACTCAAAAAACGCGACGAACCGGATGGCGTATTGCTTTCGCGAAGACGGCGAAAAAGGAGGAAGCAGGTGGCACGACGAAGGAGGCGCAACAAGCGGCGCGCGCGAGCGTGAGCACCAGGTGGAAGGGGTCGTTTGCAGCGGAAGACGAGAAGTACCGGGCGAGTAGCGAAAGCGGAAGAAGAGGACAGACCTGCAAGGTAAGGCGAGGCGAGACGAGGCGAGGCGAGGCGAGGCGAGGCGAGGCGAGACTTGAGAGAAGCAGAGCAAAGAACATGACTCACTCACCGTTCCTCCTGTTGGCGCTGCTTGCGACGCGTAGCGCGAGCGTGCCGCGCATGTGGGCGAGCACCGTCGCGAGCACGACGAGTGCCCGGTAGCCGTCGTGGGACCTCATGCCGGCCTCTACCGAGGGGACAGTTTAGAAAATAGAGAAACGATGGCGATCCGGAGGCGACTCTCTCAGGACTCTCTACCGCCTCGAGCGGACTTGCTGAGGCACTGGCTCAGCGTCGACTGAGACGTACTTTGTGCTCGCCGCTCTATCAGCAGAACCGTCACTCCTCTCGGTACGTTTCACACCGCGGCCGTGTGTATCCCCCGGGTAGGAACTACCACCACAACTACGGACAGAACCAACGGATGACTACGGGCAGGTTGTTACTACTATTGCCCGTGGCAAAGAGGGTCCCCCACACTCTTATCCCGAATTTAATACCAGCGGTGGCCACCGCGGTATCGGTCACCACCGGCTTTGCTCTCGTACCCATGCACTGGCCCTGCACACCTATTTAAAACCTATCGCTCCACCTCGCGCTCCTTACCATTGGCTCCTGCCCCAATTCCTTGCCCAATGGTACACTCTCGCGCGCGTTCACCTCCTTTTCAGATCGCCGGCGACGGAGGTGGCGGTGGTGGCGGTGGTGGCGGTGGTGGCGGTGGTGGCGGTGGTGACGGCGACGGCGGCGGCGGCGGCGGCGGCGGCGGTGGTACGGCTTCAGGTGGAGGAGAGAGGAAGAGAATTGGCGAACAGGGTTTGGGTGGTGAAGTAGGTAAGGCAGTAGGTGGTGAGGTCCACCGAGGCGGTAAATACCATCGTCGGACACGTCCGGCAGCAGCGGCGGCGGCGGCGACGGCGGTAACGAACTACTCGGTGACGTCGAAATTTTCCCCCCTTTCGCGCACTCGCGCGCGCCGGTCGCGGCCGATGAAGGTGAAGGGGGTTTTTAGGTGGGGTTCGCGTGCGAGTGAGCCAAGATCGCGTCGGCGACTCTCCGCTCGGTTCTCTCCCGGCTCTCTTTCCGCGTCTCTGTGTGTGCCGCGAGCGCGCGGTTCATAGCTGCTCTAAGACACGGCATAGCCGGTATAAGCCGCCAGTCGTTTGTTCGTGTTTCATTTACGACAGACCTGCAGAGGTATGGGCGTCGAATACGGATTCCTACTCGAGGATTCCTACACGACGAGGAAACGCGATCGGGATCCGCCATCGGGTCTACTCGCGGCGGGAAAATCCCGCGATGAGGCCGCGATGGACAAGGTCGAGGCAACGGTGAAAATTCACCGAACGCTATACAATCTGTTGCAGTTGCTGGTGGTATCGTGCCTGGTATCGCTGCCAGGCAGCGGTGCAACGTGCGAAGACCGAAGAATGTTAGCTAGTCTAAGGGTTACACTCCTGTACAATGTTGCGTGTCACATCATAACAGATGTAAAGAGAGAAAAGAAAATCGCTTATACAATTGCGCCAATGTGTCTTTCATATCCTCCTAGAAATCTAATTTTTCGCGACAATTGGTCTCGTCGTGTCGCCCAGCAGTTTCTCTCCAGTAACGCTTCCTTCTTCGTCATAATCAAATATACGACTTGAAATGAAAGAAAGGAAGCCTCTGAAACTCTCGGTCAGTGTGATTTTTTCTTGTTCGGCTGAAGCGACGGAAAATAATGCGAAAGATTTCGAATTATTGCGGGTACTTCCATACTTTCTCTTTCTCCTGCTGCTATTGAGTCACCGTCGATGAGTGAACCGTACGCAAAAGCCGCGCACCAGGCGATGGACGATTTCGCGAAGAGGCGCAGCGACGTTACAAATCAACTGCTAAAAAGACATGAAGTGAGACGTTTCGAGATAGTCACGTTGGCGCGCGCGTCACGGCTGAATCCACTCAAGCCTCAAGCTTATAGCTGCACGGTGGTACGCTGCCGGTGAACGTGTGTGCGTGCGACGTGCGTGCGACGTGCGTGCGACGTGGGGCACACGCCGGGCATCGGCACATGCTCCGCGGTACGCGTCGCCGCCGTTCGCGCACTTTCCTGGCTGAGAGCCTCTCGATTTCGCCCGAGAGCCAAGACTATTTCGCTAATAATCGTCCCGACACACCCAGGCCTCGGGTACCTTGACGTACCTTGGCAATGAGCAACGATTCACTGGCTCTGGGATCGACTTACCTTGGCACTTCCCTTTCTACAGCGCGCCGCGCTGTTTCGCGCTTGCGAAAACCGCGGCCGACTTTCCAACGGCATTGTCGCTGGACACAGCTGCCCAATCTCGCGGTAGCGTCTCGCGAGTAGCGGATGCGTGAAAAAGAAGTCGCCGGCTTTTTCGCCCGGCTTCATCAACCGCGACGACGTTACGCTCAAGTCACCCTTAGAATTCTGGGCACCGAGCCGCGCTGCGTGTTACTCACGTCACGTGTCGACGCTGTCGCGCGGGTGACAACAGTCAGTCATCATGCGAGTGTATCGCTCTCGAAGACCGATTGTTTCACATGTTGACACATGTCATATTGGTCATTAGTTAGGACTGACCGTATCTCATTAATTTATGCACGAAATGCAGGCAACTCTGCATGTAGCAAGTTAAATATACAGTCGATAGGAGGCCAATAAAATACACGAGTTGACGATGCACCGCGGATTGCACTTATCCACCGCTTTGTCTTTGGCGATTCGAACTTGAGCTGAACTGAAGTAATCCGCAAAGTGGGAATCCACATGACGCGCGGTCGACGTGCTAAATATCTCGCAAAACCGTTGCTTTATTTCGCATGGACACGTGGCAGCCGGCAGAATCCCGTTCCTTCTCGATAACGACGACACGGTCGCTCGGCCGGGCTTTTGCTACGCGGTATCGAGGAGGAAAAGTTCCCAGCGAATGATACACGCGCGATCGTAATTCAATCAAGACTGCAATGGGCAGATTTCCATAAATCTCGAGATGCGCGCCGTCGAACGGAACCTGCTTCGTCGTTGTATAAAGAGTTTCAATTCCGCCACTTTTACACGCGCCGACTGAAAGTCATTTAATTCATCACGCAACTACAGCGCAACGACATGTCGCCGGGTATCGCGACCGACCCGAGCAATTATGGCAGCTGGTGGGACGATCGCGCGAGATTATGCGAATCACATTCGTTCGTACGTGTCCAATTAATTAATTAGTAACGCGGCACGACGATCGTCACGCGCGGCGCCCTCGGCGGGCGTTTTCAATCGGCCGGTCTAAATAACATCGATAGAGCGCTTTTAATTGCTCGCTGTCCTTCGGGTTCTCATTAAGGACCGACGATACGCGGAAGCACGTCGCGCTCGTCCGTGGGCCCGAGCGTATCGGAAGGATTCGTCGTGCCGGGACAGGTGTGACGGCGTTGTGTATTCATTGGCGCGACTCGGAGTGGCTAACCGTCACGCTGGGACACTTTCCCCCCGATGGCCCGTCTACCGCGAGAGCGTAAAGGTCCGCGAGAAAAAGGGAGAGAAACACGGGCGTGCGACCGTGCGAGAAAGCCGGCGGTTTCGGTCAGAGATCCGCGCGACTGATAACGAGCGTCGCTCGTGGTGATTATTCAATACAAGTCGAACAGAGTTTCAACGTCCTATATTTAGTATGTTATCCGGCATACATCGGAAAATAAAGCTGTCCGCGCGCCATCGACCGCGCGATGGTCACCGCCTGGCGCTGGAAAAGGTGGAGCTGCTTGAAAAACGAAATAACGCGCGCTTTTCGCGGCCGCGAGAAAGTGACGAGGCTCCCCCCCTCCGAGCTGCGTATATCGTTGCTCATTATCATCGGGCGTCTGCTTAATTATAACGCGTGACACTCTTGTTGACTGAGGTAGTGTTAACTAACTATCGGAGACGTTATAAATCATTCCAATCGAGTTATGATTCAGTTCTATCCGATCGGAAGAATTCGCTCGCCTCTCGAGCGCTGTGCGCGGTGACAGGCAGGCGATCAATCGTACCGACGAGTACCGGCTGAAAAATATAAATAACGGCGCGCGCAGGAAAAGTGAACCGCCTGGTGACAAGCCTGTCACCCTCCGTCGAGACGAAAGCAATGAATTCTCGCGCATCTATCGCTCGCCAGACGTAGCAGTGAAATGCGTTCGTGCGGGCACGCGACGCATTCTAATGTCCCTCGCGCGCACGCGCGATCTCTCTTTCTCTCCTTCCCTCAGAGAAGATCCTCGGGAGATTGTCCGGCTTCCCCGTTTTTCCGACGACGACTGTCATCGCGCGTCGCGTAGTCGCACGCGATATATATCGACGATTCTCGGTGGAAATTGAAAGGGAATCCATTAACGCATCGAGCGGAACCGATATAAATTGCCCCGTCAGGCCGCTTTCCGCCGCGGCTGCACTTTTCAGCCGGTCGTGCGGCCGTTCTGAAAAGCGCCGGGTTTCGTTCGACGGCGGCACGAACTGAAGGTGTCGCGCGAACGGGTGAACGGAATCGAGCGGCGCTCGATAAGCTTCGATTGCTTTCCCGATTTTTGTCACGCAAATCTTGCCGCGGCAAGGACGTCGTCTAGAGCAGCGCTTCTCAAAGTCGGAGCGGTGGCTGCTGAGAACGGCGTCATCGCTCGATGGTCCTCGACGAATCGCTAGGAAAGGAAACTAGCCATATGGATCGTGTGGGTTGTAGCTTTGGCACGTTTGGAGAACTCCGGAACAGTTCGATATGGTCTCAGGAATTTTGAAACGTCTTCTAAGATACTCAGAGATGCTCTAGAGGTCTGTTGGAGAGAGGACAGTAGGAGGGAAGATGGAAATGTGAGATGAAGTGAAAATTTGTGGCATTCGATCGTGGCTCTGATTCTTTAGCTTGAGCGATATTGAATAATTCATTATGTAACATGTACGATTCGGAGATTCGTAAATACGATAGTACCTGCTTGTTTTGTCGCATTAGATGGTTTGAGAAGCACTGCTCCGACGCTGGATTTGTTCATCGGGAAACCGCATAACTTTAGCTCAGATTTTGAACGCGCCTTCGTTACCCATGCGTCGCGCGCGAGCCGTTCTTTATGCGCGCGTGTAAAATACGTATGAATTTATAAATAAATGAATTTATAAGTAGATCAGTCGAGAGGAACGGCTCCTGAGAAAATAATGCCGTTTGTCGGATAAATAGAAAGCCGTATCGCTCATTTTACACGGACAAATGGGGAGCTGATCCTCAGGAATGTACAATTTCCAAATCGCAATATCTTATCGTATTTATAAGAAGTAATGGTACGAGTTTATGCTCTGAATCCGAAACTGTGTCCAATTTTGAAGCAAAAGTCTCGTCTATGGAGGCATGCTAATGTCTACGATTAATATATCCTGTTTGTTCTGTGAGGTAGGCACAAAATTATTTGCAGGTTTTTTTATATATAATTTTGAGCACATAGATTGCAGAAAATGTCGAAGTTACTTTGAAGACAACTCATAGTGAAATTATTTATGCAAATGTCATACTGCATCTTCAGATATCTTCGCTTTGT